TTTTTTGCCTTTTCAGCTAGTTATTTACAAACATGTGCTCTTGATTCACTTTTGTGTTACTRTCAGATTTTTCAGCTATCTTTCTGCTCCTGTCAGCTTTTCCTCTGATAAAATAATTATTTTTTTGGCTTCTTTTAGCTGATTTTTGTTCATTTTAAGCTATCTTTTTGCCATTTTAACTAGTTATTTTAAATGGTGCACTTTTTACGCTTTTGTGGTAATTTCTATTTTTTCGGCTACTTTTCTGCTAATTTTGGCAGCTTTAGCTATTTTACACCAAATTGCAACTTTTTTTGTAATCCTTTTTTTCTGCAGATGAGCATTTTTTTATTCTCCGTTCAACACTTGTCTGCTAATTCAAAAATATTTCTGCTTCTTACAGTCAGCCGGTCAAACTTAAATCACATTATCAATTTTCTATTAAACAATTTCAGCTACTTCAGCAGCTTTCAGGAAAAAACTTTCAGCATTTTCACAGGAAATCCAAATTCTCTAGTTTAAATGCAATTATGTTGCTCAGGACTATGGTGGAAGATGGAGGTGCAGTTTTACGTGCGTTTCTGTACTTTTATACAGCTCTGTTGCAGAAATCAGGGACTGAGAGGAGAACAGCCACGAGGGCTTACTGTCTGACAAACAAATCTGAGGTCTCTATATGCAAAATGTGTTGGCAAATAGGCAACAGGGTCAGGGTTTGATCCTCCGAATCAGTTAGACCTGCTGGAGCCAAACATGGGAGCGAGGACGAGCAAATCAAAACGTTGCACAGGTTGTAGCAACGAGAGGCCGAGGATCACGCAGGGTGGGACTGAACAAACAGGACGTGAGTCCTGAAAGAGGAGGAGCTGCAGGGGGGGCGGGGGGTAGCCCGGGGAAAAACGGGAGAAACGTAAGGAAGGAACCTGAAACATTCCTTCACGCTTCAACAGGTGGAAAACAAACGAAAGCATCTCAATAGGAGGATTAATTAGATTCAGTTCAACTTATTTGTGTGAAATTCTACCTGAAATGTATGTTTTAGGATTTTTTTTCTACTAATATTATAAGAATYACAACCGTCCTGTTAAGAATAACCAAAAATAAATAAAGAATGCCTGAAAATAGCTGCGACGTGCAGACTTGAAGCAACACGAACTTGTGTTTGTCTGCCTGACAGACGCAGGTAGAGAAGATAAAGCAGCAGAGCTGAATTTGTTTTGCAAATCTTCCCATGCAAATGAGGCCTGGCAGGTAGTTTGGAAAGTCTGCTGAAGGGACGGGAGGATATCTGAACGTGCCCCCGGGCCTCAATGGTGCGTTTATTCCAGTCAGAGTGGGAGATTCCCAACAAGCGCCGCTCTCATTCCCAGTTCCATCAAAGACCTGCGACGGGACCTTAAATCACTATTTACTGTTTTCAGATTGACATCAGCAAACAGAATATCTGTGGCAAATTCTACCCCTGATCGACTYTGGTTTCCACTTAAACTCGTCCGTTTATTTACAGTTTCTTTCATCGGATTAAGAAACTATTAAAAACCTGACTTTTGATGTGTAGCTTTGCAACAAATAAACAAAATATACATACCCTGGAAGTTAGGTCATTGTCTAAATGTAAATAAAACATAATCCAATGGTCTGAAAATCTTGTGAACCCGTATTTTATTTGCAACAGAGTGTTATTAAAAGTTGAAGCTTGAAAATGTACCATGAACAAGAAAAAATAAAGGTCATTTTGATTTTGTTTAATCAGAAATATCAGAACAGGGTCACTTTTCTGAATGAGAAGGCATTAATGCACCCCCATACCATCAGAGAGGCAGGCCTTTGAACTGTGTGCTGCTTTTTTCCTCTTTAGTGTTTGTAGTTTTCAAAACCAATTCCCAGTTTGGATTTATTTGACCACAGAACAGTTTTAAAGTGCCTGTGACATGAAAATTTTAAATAAATTTAAAGGCATTATTGGAAAGATAATATTAATAACATTTTGCAAAAAAAATTTCCTGCTGCTGACATGAACAGTTGTTGAGATATTTGCATTTGAAGTAACAGGAAGTGATGTCAAAGGGGAATATCYGCATGGATTAGAGTGTTGCTAAAATGGCTATAATGGCTGTTTCTTTAGATTATTTTGAGTCWCTATCAGAGAGATGAAGATGAGTCAGAAATGAAATAATAAAATTTCAGTAAACAGAGACCAGAGAGTTCTCTTTCTTAAAGAGTTCCCCTTTGATGTCACTTCCTGTTTCACTTTGGCTGAGCCAAGTTCAAAAGAAAATATGACATTTTTGTGACCAAATGGGTAAAATCATGGTTTTTTTTTGCAAGGTTTCTTATATAAAAATGTGATTTCTTTGACTTTTTGTATTCGCCAGATGTCACAGGCGCTCACTTTAAATGAGCTTTTGCCCACAGAAGATGAATAGAAAAGAATAGAAATAGTCTTTATTGTACCGCTGAGGGGAAATTCAGGTGTCACAGCAGCGTCCGTACAGAGGTTCACACACTAGTTACTTTAGAAACTTTACAAAAAAGATGCCAGCTTCACTGGATGGTGGTCTTTGCACGATACAGCTTCAATTTCCATTTTTGGACAGGGCGATGAATTGTGTTCACAGTTTTTGTTGGTGAATCCTGAAATGACAAGCAGATCATCCTTCACTTCCTGCCAGAATAATCTAAACAAAAATTAACTGTCAGCATATTTCCTCTGCGTGACTGGACGGACGATGATGACCGGGGACTG